GCAGTATGCTTTGGATCATTATCCTGGTAGAATTAAAAACTATTTTGTATATTAAGTTTTTGTGCCAACAATACCAAATTTTGATTCAAAATGTTAAGGTACTGATACTGATCCATTACACCATCTATAAACACTATATCCCCATACCACAACTTCTCCACTGTGTTTAACACTTGATACTAAGCTTTACTTCTAAAATTTTTCTTTGGTTTTTCTCCATACCAGCACTTGTCTATTTGACCCAAAGATGTTGTATTTGCTTTTATCAGCAACCAACACCTTTTTTCAGTAGTCTGGTGTCTTTTGTTTCAATTTTGGAAAACAAGTCGAAGTTTTTTTTTTTTTTTTTTTTTTTTTTTTTAACTGATATAAAATTTTCTACTCACCCATAATATCCTGCAGATTGCATTATTGTTCTAACAGTTTCTGCATTTGCATATATTTCACGAAGTTTCACAAGTTTAGGAGCACTCTGATTCTTTTTAATATTCCTTAGCATTTCATTCCATCACATAACTTAGATTGCCTTTTGTTTTGAATATGATTCTGTTTCTTATCAAAAACTGTAAAATTACTTAAATAGGCAATTTTTCAAATAGATTTTACCTTTCCTTTTGAAGCAAATTAATAACTAATCTGAAGGTTTCTAATGATGTTTTCTTTCATGACCGAGCCTTTGCAAGAAAACATAAAATAATGAATATTTTCTAAAAAGAAATTAAAATTATAAAAGCAAACAATTTTTGGAGTTTTGCCTAGCTTCTTCATCCAAACTAATTCTATAAAATTTCATTTTTATTATTATTGCAGATGATTTTAGTTAGAAATTATGAAAAAATCTGATTAATTTTGTGGTATCTTTTTTCATTTCAGCCTAAAATGTTATTTTATAAATTTACTATTTTAATATATTCAAAGAGAGAGCTAAGAAAAAATATGTATTCAAAGGGAAAATATTCTTATTATTTTATTTACTAAAGCTTTTCTTCTATTATTTAAAAAAAAATATAGTGGCCTATCATTTTTGTGAGACATTGTAGTGTTGGCATGAAAATACTTGTTAATGAAAATAAAGAAATATTAGACTGGCTATGATTGCAAGTATCTCCATCTTCTAAATTATTACATGTATAAAATATATTTAATTATTAATATATATATATGGATAAGTTATTTACTCAAAATGTTTTAGTTCAGTTTTTTCTAAGTGTATCAAATTCATATTTCAGCCTTTTGTCTCTGATATTAAACCACGTAGCTCAAACTGTAGTGTAATCTCAAAGTCCAATCCTAATACTCCTAAACGTTCTGCTAAGTCTGCTGAATTGGCCAAGGCTAGAGAAGAAGCTCGGAAGCAACTTTTAGCTGCTAAGAAGAGAGGTCGACAACAAAATACTCTAGCAAATGATGCTGATGTTGCCATCTTTACTCCTGCCACAAATTAAAAAGCTTCTTTTTTTTGTGTCAATATTTGACCTTTTTTTTTGTTGTATATCTGAAAGATTAAGACCAGGTTTTATTTCAATTTCCCCCTCCTCTTTTTTCAAATTAGAAATACTGTTGTTTCTAATCCCATCTGCTTAATGAATTTTCAGCACAAAAATCATATAAAATAATGTTATATGAAGTAGCATATGTATATGTTTTTTGTATAAAATTTGATTTGTATATGTATAGTAATCAATAATGAAACTTTTCTACTAATTTTAAACTTTTGTTTATTTTTAGGGAAGCGCATAATTTTTTTTTTTTTTTTTAGAATTGTTTTTAAGACACTTATAAAAGGCAGCTTTTTAACTTTTCAATTATTTAAAAAATACATAAATAAAGTAAATTGAATACAGAGAGTTCTCTTTACAGAACTTGGATTAGTGCCAAAAATATCAATTTAAAACAAAATATATACTTGCAGTATTAATTGAGCATTGATGTAAGAGCTATATTTTGCAATGATTATACAGAAATATATTTTTAAAAATTTTAACTTCTTCCTTGAAAATATTTTATATCATTACTGTGAGATATTTTGAAGTACAAATATTTGACAATTATTCTTTTGTTGCAGATTTGTGATTTTGTTTATAATTCAAATAATATAGTTCTTAACCTTATTCTCTGTTTGGGCATATCTGACAAACAGGAAATGCTGGTGGGTGCAATAAAAAAAAAGTATAACAATTCTTAATATATCTTATTGCAGTTATTCTTAATATATTTTATTGCAATCATAAGCACCATAAATAATACCCTACATTAAAAAGGTAATACAAAATAGTTGCATTTAATGCCATTTTGGGGCCGCAGTTGATACTAATATATAGCAGACAGTTGCAGGTGCACAAAAATAGTTTTGCGGGCACGGGGTTAAAAGCCCCTGCAGTATAATAATAATTGTAGAAAATAATCATGTTTGCTGTGTGTATTTCTACTTGGCATAACAACTAAAAATAAAAATGCCATAAAAAGATTTTAAAAGTAATTGCTAATTTCGTCTTCCTTTACATACTAGTCTTAAGTACTTACAACAATGCATACTAGTTTAAGAGATTTGCCTCATGTCCCTTTATTTTTTTCTTAAATTTTGAAAAATGATTTGATTATGATTCAGCCCATTGTAAACAATATTTGACATATAGCAAGCCTGTTTGTCTAGAATCAAACCCAGGTCATACTTTAGCATTCAGCCACTGGTGGGACAAAAAAAGGTTTTAATGCGTGTAATTTTTTACTAATTTATAACTTTGTTATAATGTGATTTTTATAACATATGATTTGTTTAAGATAAATGGCAGAACAAGCTAAGTGACAATGCTATGTAATATTTGTGCAAAGTTTATAAGGAGAATTCTCTGTATGTTCATGTACCATATTTATGTGTATGAAAATTTAATCATTTTTATTTTATATTCTCTGAGGTGAAACGAAAATAAATACTCTTTAAAGTGAGGGAAAGAACAAGGTGTAGTTTAAGATAGATGCAATTTTTAAAGCATGCTTCCCCCCAAAAAAAATTTGTTTTGAAGGCTAGCCATTTTACTTTAGATTGAAAAGTTCAAATTAAAAAATGAATTTTTGAATGCAAAGCTTGACAGTGCTACTCATTTTTCAGAAAATTAATTAGTTTAATATTTCATTTTTGTGAGTAACTAAGAATATCATACTTTAAATATTATAGATAATTTATTAAAATTCTGATGCATATACTAAAGATCTAGTAAAATGAAAGAGAAGTATATATTATTATCTGAGGATTAAACATCACCAAGTTTCTAAAGCTCCATTTCACTGGATTTTTCTATTTTGAACCAGGGATGTTAACTATGCCTTAAATTGCAAGATTTAAAAAATGTTTTCAAAAATTATTATTAAAGTATTTATAATATATACTGAATAAAGTTATTTATGTGCATAACACATATTTTACATATATATAATGTATGTCTTTTACAATGAAAGTATTCCAATTCAATACCAAGTAATAATAATTATTTCTTGGGCTCTTCAGACTTACCTTGTAAAAATGTTTAAAATATGAAACCGTTTTCTTGCAGCTGATAGCTAACATCCTTGGGCAGTAAGTTTTTCATTTTTGCAAATTTCCATTTTATAATCTTTCCAAGAATTTCTGCCCAATATGTATATTTTGTTGAGAAATTATCATTTTCAGGATGCACTTGTTTTAGCACATACTAGAAATTTGTAAATAGTTTGGGATTTTGTTCAATTTTGATACTGTATATTACTGAGAAATGTTCATTGTATCAGTTATCACATGGATATTGCCAAAGTACATCATAACTTAGAGGACAACATAGAACAGAACTATAGGTCACAAATAACTTAAATTTTTTTTCTTCTATATTAATTACACTATAAGTAGATGTAGTCTATAAAATAAGATTTGAAATTTTGCCAAATTATGTGAACACTGGAAAATGTTTTGTAAATTTAGATATTTTATATTAGTTGGCTTTTTGTATCTAGAACTAAAATCTATTTTAATTAAAATGTTTAGATTCAGTTATAAAAAACTACTTTGAAATACCTCAAAAATGTTAATTCTTCATGTGATAAAAGCAGTATGTTTTGAATTAATGTTGTGAATGTTGAAATTTATTTGATAGCCTGTGTACTCATTCTTAATATTATTCTGCTCATCAAATCTGAACATAAAAAGGGCTGTCTTTGTACTTGATTTAATAAGGAAATACAATTTTATAAATTTTTGAAATAAAATGTTTTATTTGCTCTCGGATATACTGGAATTTATATATATCACATAAATTTACTGTACTGGAATTTATGTATATTGCATAAATTTACTATGTGATGTTTATTTTTACTATAGTAAATCTAGAAAGATGCCCTAATTTTATTGATAGAACAGACACAGCAAGAGGAATGTTAAGAAGGGGTTCTGGATACTTACTTCAAAGACTACTGCTGAGTATCTTGCACTCTTATCAGACACAAGATAGCATTAACTTTTCTGATTACTATGCATATAGCCACAGCAATTTCAGAGGTAGAGATGAAACATGCAATTTCAGTTTATTCTATAAAATGTTCCTTAAATAATGTTAACAGAAATGAAAGTTTGATCACTTCATTTTATATGAAGTATCCAGAATATAAATCCATTGTATGATATATTTCTACTGAATTCTGTTAAAAACAAAAACAGCTCATATAAATGTGCCACCTCAATGAAAGGATATGTGTTCAGTAATATCAACTTGTGCAGTCACTGCAAGTGAGTGTTCATGTTTAAACATGAAAAACTTCAAATTGGTAGTTAATTGTTTAAAAGCAAAGCAATAAATCATGATTTTATACACACACTCCATGTAACAAACTAATATTTTTAGCATTAAGATGGAACTACCTGTTCTAATATATCAAGACATAATTCATAGAAGACAAAAATGCAGAAATACCAACTGTTTCTGCATTTGATCATTCTATAAATACGATCGCGATTAAAATATAGACACAAATGATTCTGTTCATAATGTTTATTAATCATGAACAGGGTTCTTTTTACATAAATTTTTATGCTATACTGCTTGCATTTGAGGCTATTCTCGGCCAAAGGTCTGCACATTCTTTTGCTACAGGACCTGTTATTGCAGAACCTGGAATTAAATGGAAGTTCCAAATCAGTTTACATCAAGATATAACAGAAATCATGAGAATATGTACATTTCAAATTTGATCACCAAGAACATTAGACAATGCAAGTACTAATTTGCATGATTGAAAAAATTCTTATAAAAATAAGTTCCAGTAAATTTTAAACACAAGAGAGCGAGACTTTTAGTGGCTTATAATTCAGAAATAGATGAAAAAATATCCAAATAATGAGCTGTATCACATTTCAAGCAATTGCTATAGCTGTTTAACAAGTTAAAATTCAGCATTAGAAGCTGGGATCCTCTGGTGAACCTTCATTTTTTAGATAAATTTCTTTATCTGTAGGAATGAATATAAAAGAGGACAAAGTGGTCCACATTGAAAAGGTAAAAGTTTATTGTGGAAATGGAATTCCAAGAATCAGTTCCTAACTTACATTAAAACAATTAGACAAGACTTTTAGTTAATTTTTAGTTCTTTCTTTCAAAGCTGAAATTGATTAAAAGTTATTTTATCAACAATACGCCTAAGACAATTTAGCAATCCTTTCATTGAAAATGCAGTAGTTAAAAAAATTTTTGAAGTTCCCATAAAAAATGTTACACTTTTAATAAAAGTTTAGAACAATTTTAAATAATTAAGACACAATAACATGCCGAATAAATACTAATTCAGAAGTCAAACAACAAAAATCAGCGTTATATTTACAAAATTTTCACAGGACTAGTTTTGATGGTTTTACCGAACCACCATCTTCAGCATCATTTCTTTCTGTGAATCTGAAATTTTACTGAACTTTTTCGATAGGAGCCAAAATCTTTGGAATGGTTACAACCTGTAAACCCTCCATTCCAAAGATTTTGGCTCCTATCGAAAAAGCTTTCAAGTTCAGTAAAGTTTCAGATTCACAGAAAGAAATGATTAGGCATCTTATCGCTCATAATGTGAAATTCAATAATAAACTTTTGAAACCAAATCTAACTGCGAGAGAAAGAGCTACATTGCGCGAAATTCATTCTAACCCGGATATTATTATTTCAAAGGCCGACAAAGGTGGCCAGATAGTCGTCATGGATAAGAACACTTACATCGATGGTGTCACTAACTCTTAAACGAAACGAAGGACCATATAATCCGATCCCTAAAGATCCTTCACCTTCGGACTTATCAAAATAAAAACTGCGATCAAATCTTCGCAAATCATTTCAAGCAACTTAAAAAATTCGCTTATCCCATCTGTTGCGAATTGTGCCAGATTATATGCTCTTCCCAAAATTCATAAAAGTGGTATTCCTTTCTGCCCTATTGTATCAAATTTAGGTACTGCCTTGTATCCATTAGCTAAATATTTAGTTTCTAGATTTTCAACTCTATTAGACAATAACATTTACACCATAAAAAATTCAATAGAGCTTGTAAAAAAGTTAAAAACATTTCTCCTAGTAATTTACTCATGGTGTCACTAAACTCTTAAACGAAGGACCATATAATCTGATCCCTAAAGATCCTTCACCTTCGGACTTGTCAAAAATAAAAACTGCGATCAAATCTTCGCAAATCATTTCAGGCAACTTAAAACATTCACTTATCCCATCTGTTGCGAATTGTGCCAGATTATATGCTCTTCCCAAAATTCATAAAAGTAGTATTCCTTTCTGCACTATTGTATCAAATTTAGGTACTGCCTCGTTCCATTAGCTAAATATTTAGTTTCTAGATTTTCAACTCTATTAGACAATAACATTTACCCCATAAAAAATTCAATAGAGTTTGTAAAAAAAGTTAAAAACATTTCTTTCTCCTAGTAATTTACTCATGGTTTCTTTTGATGTAAAATCATTATTCACCAATGTCCCAGTGGAGGGTGCATTAAGATGTCTAGAAACCAGACTTCGCGAATTTCATTTCTCTTGCATCGAAATTGATGAGCTAATTTCTCCACTCAACTCTGTTTGAAACAAACACATTTTGTTTTTCAAAATAAATATTACAAGCAAACAGAGGGATTAGCCATGGGAAAGCCCCCTCAGTCCCATCCTGGCTGATATCTACATGCATTATTATGAATCAAAATTATTTGAAACTTTAAACTTCCCGGTATGGTTTCGCTACGTAGACGATACTTTTACCCTGTTTGAAGGTAATAAAGATGATTTAAATAAAGTTCTTTCAACAATGAATTCCATTGATCCTGCTATTCAGTTCACTTTTGAACTTGAGACTTGCAATTCTCTTCCGTTTCTCGACATTCTGGTCACACGTAACACATCCAACTTCAGTACTACAGTTTACCGTAAACCTTCATCGGTTTGCCTTCCACCACACTTTAAATCATGTCATCCGACTATAACAAAAGTTAGCTTCATTTTATTCCTATGTTTTCCGTGCTCTTCAAGTTTGCTCCTCCAAACTAGCCCTTGATGAAGAACTAAATTATTTAAAAGCAATAGCTATTGACAGGGGCTTTTCACCCAACATTATTAATCAAGCAGTTAAAAAATTTTCATCTCAACACACTAAAAGCCACACTCTTATTTTAGGAGATTATAAAAATTCTGTTGTCATTCCCTTCTTTCCATCAATTAGCTATAAAGTTGCACATATTTTGCAGAAATTTAACTTTCGGGTTGTTTATTCTCCCATCAATAAAATTCCAAGTTCTATACTCAAGGACCCCATTCCGGATATGAATTCCTGGGGTATTTATAGGATTCCTTGCCAGTGTGGTTTAATTTACATTGGCCAAACTAAGAGAGCCTTAAAATTTCGCGTCAAAGAACATGAGGCATATGTTAGAAAAAAGGAAACACAGAAGTCTTCTGTTGCTCAACATTGTTGGTCCGAAAACCATACTTTCAATTTTTCTGCTGCCAAAATTATTCAAAAAACATCTTCCATTGGAGAACTGGATTTTCTAGAGGTATTTCATATTCATAAAAATCTTTCTGTTCTAGTTAACGATCCTAATTCCAATCCAAATTTGCCTTCGGCCTTTAAAGAAATTATGTTTTAGTTCTGATTTTACTAACAGATGGCGCCACTTGCTTATTCTTGTCCAGGCCTTTCTTATCTTATCTAATCATTATTTCCTATCTTGTTTATTTGTGGTTTTGCAGCTGAAGATGGTGGTTCGGTAAAACCATCGAAACTAGTCCTGTGAAAATTTTGTAAATATAACACTGATTTTTGTTGTTTGACTTCTGAATTAGTAATTTTAAATACATCATCAAAAATGGTATATTTATAAGCTTTTTAAATGCAAGTTTTTCTGCTGCATTTTTTCCCTTCTTTAAGTCTTATGATTATGGTTTTGAAACATTTTAACTATTTGATTTTAATTAAAAGCTAATTATATATTTGTGTCAACATTTTGTACGGTAATCTTTCCAAAAGAGATTTTCACTCCAGACTTCCAGTGATTAGAGGATAACTAGTATTTAGTATCTGAACAATGTATTATACCTTCACACTTGCATACATTGATCAAACAAATTAAAACAAATACTGCATTTGCCAATAAAATAGCAAGTAAATAATGCAACATTCAATGGGGAGGATATAAGGTCTTGAGTTTTCACTTCTCTGAATTGGTAGAAGAGTTAGATTTCTTTTGGCATGGATTTTAAGCCTAATTTTGCCTAATAAAGCCATATACAAAATTTAATTATATCTTTATATTCAAACTATATGTACATTAATATATGCTGAAAACAAAAAGATATTTCATATTATTATAGGTATTAATTCTAATAAATAATTATACTTTTAAATTTTTGCGCTAAAATCTATTTGCATTATTACACACATATATACAGTACAAAATCCGTAATCTGGATGTCCATTATCCGGAATGATCTATAATCCGGACCTCAAAGCCACAAACTTGTGCATTCGCGTAAAGCCAGTAAAGTGTTTGTTTACCCATGTGCACTTCCGATAGTATAGTGAAGAAAGTAATAAAGAACGTTATTGAAAACGAAAACATTTCGATTGGCAAGTTAGTCGGTATTCTTGACACAGCAATTACAGGACTTGAACAGTGGAACTTTGTAACTGAACAACTGTTTATAGAATTAAAGAAAAAGTATTAGCACAAAAAATGAAGCAACTTAAACAAATATTAAGCTTTATTTTTGTAAATTTTGATACCATTTAGATCATAATTACTCTATTTCATAAATTAGTTTCATATTTTTAATTGTATAATTTCTGCATGCCATCTAACCAGATTTAAATTGGTGATCTATAATCCAGAAAAAACAGAAGTCCCGACGTGTCCGATTACAGACTTTGTACTGTAATTCGAATGTCTCAAATGAAACTTTGGCTGGCAACTGTCCAAAAGGGACGTTAATTATGTGCCACGAGGTGAGCGATCAGGGGAAAGTCCTTACCGGAAACGGATTTTGTACGACCGGAGAATGAAATTTCCCCATGTCATTGGGTAATCCATTATAGTCAATTGTCTTTCACACCCTTGGTTCATATTTGCAGAAATAAATGCTAAGATTTGCTACCCAGAAAACAAGAATACTGAAATTATTTTTCACAATTTATTCATTTTACATAAATAATGCATTCTTCATTGGTTACATTTTAAGGTAAGACATTAAATTGACTTTTGATAATGGTTACTTTTGACATTCCCATAAAAATCAAGAAACTATTTTCTTACCAGAATTCTTTAGAAGTGTTCCATTTGCGTTATTAGATTGCAGTTGATTTTAACCTGACATTTGCCAATATTGTGGTCTTTGGCTTAAATGTAAATGATAGCTTGTTTTTATCATTAGAATAAGTTCAGTTGGTGAAAGGGATTTCACAGTAGAAGAAATTGCTACGTGCTGTTATTATTGTTTTGTTACATGGAATTGTAGAATAGAGAACTTAGCATTTCCAACTCACAGCCCAAGAAAAGAGCAAGCAACATTGTAGGAGTATATTTTAACTCAAATAAGAATGATCAATTGTATAAATACAATAATTATTATAAAGTAAATTA